GGGGAGGGCTGAAAGAGAAGGGCCAGTAGGGACAGCAGCCGATTGGCCCTGCCGCCCGTCGATCCAGAACTCTGGGAGCGAATTGCCCAGCGAGAGGAGGAGGAGGAGGAGAACGAGGCGATGCCTGGCGATGACGTGCCGCAAGAGGCGGGCCGATCGCGGCTGTGGCGCGCGCTGAAAAAGGTCTTGATAGGCGGGGGTACGCGGGAGCAACTGCCAATCAACCGTGAGTATTTGGCCTCGCGCGCGCGCTCTCCTTTTCTTGACCCCTTTCACATTCCACTCCCCTCTCAAGTTCGGCGGCGGTTTAACGGTCCGCGCGCGCGTGTGCTGCCTCCTGCGGGAATGGGGGAGAGCCAAGGCAACGCCTGGGGCCTTCCTGCTCTGGCCAGGGGTGGGTTGGAAAGGGAGGGAGCTAGGCGACGTCAAGTCACTCCCCCTTCAGTGCGCCCCCACCCCTAGGCGGTGTGTGTGGGAGGGGGTGATGGCAAATCACTTGCTCCCGCCACCCTTGGGTGGGTGGTGGTGTCAGATCTAGGGATGTCAAGCGGCAGGCTTCTGTAAACGTGTAACTGCTGCGGTTTTCAGCCCTTGCCAGCGGTGAAAGGAAGTGGGTGCGCCCCGGTGCGCAGCCCTCGCAAGAGCTGGCTGAGCTGCGGCAAAAGCCAGCGGGGAGCTATTTAAAGAGTGGCAGGGACCCCTTTGCAATAGGAGAGCCCCTGTAAGAAATGGGTAACAGCCAGCAGTGCAAGTAACTTAACATTTCAGGGGGCAGCAGCTCTGTAGAAGCTTCTCCCAGCAAGCATGGGCTCCTGTGAAGCCACCAGCTCCTGGCCCCTTCCTACTCCTCCCTCCCCTCCTGCCTCTGATACACGGGAGGGGGGAGAGGTATGTAACTATGAGGGTTAACTGATGAGCCCAAGCTCATTGGTTAACCGTTTAAGTGAATACACTGACATAGCCCTAGTCAGATTCCCCCTGCCAGTGTCACCTCCTTCACAGGGATTGATGTTGTCATCTGTTGTGCGGGTGAGTCATATCATGTCTATCCTTGGCCTGG